TTTTTTTAGGTGGTTGTACCTCCTTTACCCGGAAAAGCCTTTCTTCGCCAATTGCCTTTCAGAGGAGATGATGGGATATTTGATGATTCCTTTATAGAAGAGAGGAAGCAGGGGCTTGAACAATTCATAAACAAGTGAGTGGGATATTCTATTTCTCGTGTTGCACAGAAACTTCAGCAACGAACAATATGCTGGTGCATTGGACTGGGTTCCTAGCAATGGTGTTAACATCCCAGTAGATTATATGTTACACCTACTGACATCTAACCGTGACCTGCTAAGTCTTTTCAAGACCAGCGAAGCTTGTGCTAATATAAAGAAATCTCAGTTTACATTCTTAAAGACTTCTGAACCACTTTCCAGCTTGAACTGCGAAGCAGTTTCAATATCCAAGCTGAACAACATGCAGCCACTTAGCATGCTTGCTGCAAAAATTGAAGAATTTGTAGTGACCTGGGTTTTGTTTCTTAATATATGCAAATTGCTTAGATTGCAGCATGTAAAGATAGCATCATACAAATAAGGCTGGGGGGAGATAAATGTGCTCATCATTGAACAAACAATTTGGTTATAATTTCTGACTGCAAGTATGATCCCCAGTACAGATTTGTATGTTTGAATCTAGAGGATATTAAAGGTATATGTGTGCTGATTTGGCCTTCAGAAAAGATCCTTATAAACCCTCTAACTTGGAAATGAAATGTGTATTTATCAAGCACTTCCTTTTCCTACTGTCTGTAATTGAACCGCCACATTTTTGCTTTGGCACTTTGTGGCTGAAGGAACTCATTCTTGCTACAGCCAAATTCTCTTTGATAAGCCTTTGGTTAAATAAGCCATGGTTGACTCATAGTACCTCACCCTATTTGATGTTGCCACCTCAGAAATGTATTCTTCGTGCCTTCTGTGAATTCAAAAGAGGCAAAATTCTGTTCCATATGATAGCTTAAAAACTGCCAAGGGAATGTAGTGCAATTTTGCAGAATTATGAACAAAAGGCACGGCTATAAAATCAGTCTTTTTAAATAAACTGGAATTTGGGGATTAAATTGACCTTTGCTGAACCTGCGTCTGTTTTCTGTTTATCCCCATCACAAATAGGTCAGTGGGGCTGTTCATTGGTACTTTGCAGGAAATTTCACCTTCTTAATTAAGAGAGGGGATGGGACGGTGGGCCAGTGGTTAAGACACTGGGCTTGTCAGCTGGAAAGCCAGCAGCCCAGGTCCAAGACTTGAGAGCCACAGGACAGGATGAATTCCCATCCTCGCTCCAGCTCCTGCCAACCCAGCAGTTTGAAAGGATGCAAATGGGAGTAGATAAATAGCTGCCACTTCAGTGGGAACGTAACTGCATTCCGTGACGTCATGGCATTCCGCCTCATGATATCTTCGGGCAGCGCTGACTCAGTGGCCTTGAAACGAAGATGAGCATAACTCCCTCTAGTCAGCAACAACTAGTGGAGTAAACTTTAACTTAGTACCCTACCTAGTTAGAGAACTAGAATGCAGAATTTTAGGCTTTAAAAAAAATGTAGAATGCTTAGAAGCCAATTGCTGACAAAGTAAAGTATGTTGGGACTATTATAAGGCACATAGACACCTTTGAAGACTAACCTTCCAATTTTTAATTTTCAGAGTTGCAGGTCACCCTTTGGCTCAGAATGAACGTTGTCTTCACATGTTCTTGCAAGATGAAATAATAGATAAAAGCTACACACCATCGAAAATAAGACATGCTTGAATGCTGCACAACACTTTAACCAGCATAAATGTTAGTGATTAACTTACATGGTCCACGATTTGTAGTTAAGGTTTTAGCATGCTCCAGACCAATTGACACAAGAAACCTTTCGTATATTAATGGCACTGTTTGGTCTTTGCATTCATTTTTTGGCATTAAAGAAGTTTAGGTGAATCTGCTGTCAGATGTTTGATTAAATGGCTTTTAAAAATCTAAATACTTTGACCCTCTTTTCTTCCTTTGCAGTGACCTTGTGGGGATTACTGACTTGGCCTTACTTGAACTTGCACTGTTCTGGTGTTGCACGTTCACTTTTATTTGATTAAAACACTAGAATATTTCTGTAAAATAAGTAGTATTGCACCTACAATTTGGTGACTAACATTTTTCATTATCCCCTTGTGTAAAATAAGCACTTCTGAGGTTGTATCCTTAAGTGGTAAAACAAATACCTTTGTACTGAGAAGCAATGAGGAAACTATCTTTATATTGTGTAAAAAGAAATCAGATTTGTATACTAAGATCATTTGTCTAAAGTTGTTTTGAAATAAAAAGTGAAATGCATTTAGCATGCCTTTACTGCTGTGATGATGGGGAGGCAATTGGGCTGGATACCCCAAATGTCAGTTCCATTGTATATACTGGAGGTTTGATGCATCTTCCATCTATTTACATGAGCTGTTTTAATATTACATTACTTCATTCAGGGGAAAAGAAACTATAATCCCATGGGTATTCGTGCTTTGGTGCAAAACTACATCAAATTAAGTTAACCTGGATAGGATGGGCTGTTCTACATTGATATTCAGACTTTCGGAGTTCCCTGCTACATTCCTTTTGGTTAGATTTCTAAAAGTGGCTTACGATTGGTGAAACTGCCATTTATTACATTCTGAGTCAAGAGCGCATTCCCACTTGTTTTTATTCAAGAGAGCAACATTCACGGTGAACTAAAGTTAACTCGTTAGAACTCCGAGAAGCCCAATTGATGTCAGGATTTGAAATTCCAAGCGTCATTTCCAGTAAAGACAGAATCAGATCCTTTAAAAAATTCAGTATATCATGTTTTTTTTTCAGTGAAGGGTTTTTGTAGGGTTGGCCCCGTCTATTGCTGCTTTCAACATAGATATTAATAAGTCACAAATGTGGCAAAATCAGAGATGCACAATTTCCAACAGTTCAAGAGTTAGACCAGACTTTGCACGATGTGTCAAGGGCCACATTCTATAGCTGCCAGAGGTGCCTGGGGGGGGAGGGATTTCAGGAATGTTTTGAGGTGAAATGGGGTCCTTAAACATCTGCAAAAAAATGGGGGGGGACAAATGTTTGGTCACATTCAACAATGAAGGGAGGAGACTTTGGGGGCATAAATGGGATTCATATAAATGCTGCCAGTTGATCTTTGGAGATTGCTGTCACACCTACCATGCTCAGGCACTTTGAAAGTGTGAATACTTGGTTACAGAAGCCTCACCATTGTGGGATTCCAGTATTATGGCCCTGATCCATTTCAGGGACTACACTGATTTCTGAGAACAATTTATTTTGCCAGCTAGGATTTAACTGACTGTACTCTATATACTAAGCGGTCCTTTTTCTATATATTAAGTGGTCCTTTTTGTAGTGGGGGCAGACGAAGAGATTTTTTTTAAAGATACACAGTATTGCACATAGCACAACTTCCCTAAATATTGGCTTACTACTGAAGTGTCAAATGCTGGGCCCAAGTAGTTTTATTTTTTAAAATGTTGGAATTCTTTGATTTTGAAGACACAACTATACTGAATCAGACCCAGTGTTCATTTTGCTTACTGCTTTACTCCCTCTAGCCCAGTGGTTCTCAACCTGTGGGTCGGGACCCCATTTGGGGTCGAACGACCATTTCATGGGGGTCGCCAAACAATGCAGTCCGCCATTTTTTTCCCCTTTTCCTTAGCTGTGCTACTCTCTTTTATTCTATTGGCTTTTGAAAGCCAATAGAATAGACTCTCTTGAATAGAGTCTAATTCTATTGGCATTCAAAAGCCAGTAGGAATTGTCCAAGTTGTCTCTGCCCTGCTGAGCCCGCCAAAAGTCCCATTCTGCAAACAGTGCTGCACCAGTTGAGTAGTCCTCAACTTACGACCGGTTGAGTAGTCCTTGACTTACGACCGGTTGGGGGTCACGGCATTAAAAAGGTTGAGAACTACTGCTCTAGCCTGACTCTGGCTTGCTTGCAAATTTCCCAATTTTTACTTTGCAAAGAGGCATGCACATAAAATCCAATTTCAGTCCTGCGTAACTGTGTTCACTTGCTTACCCAAGAGTAACTTAAAACATGAATAATCGATTGGCCCAATTTTCTGTGTTTTTATGGCATATCCATAAACTAAACTGAGTTAGATCTATATAGCTTCTCAGGCTAAAATGTAGTTGGCTAGTGTAATTCAGTTGTCAGGCTAATATTGCCTGCTTCTTCCTTTAAACACAAAGCATTGCCCTCCAATTCATCTGCCTCGGATGAATATTGAATTGGGATATATCAAACCTGTTAGATTGTTCTGAGCATAGTAGAATAAATACAGTACTGAATGGCATACTCTCCCAGAACTTTGGTAGGTGTATGCCAGGGGTTCTCAACCTTGGCAACTTTAAGACTTGTGGACTTCAATTCCCAGAATTCCTCAGCCAGCAAAGCTTTGCTGGCTGAGGAATTCTGGGAATTGAAGTCCACAAGTCTTAAAGTTGCCAAGGTTGAGAACCCCTGGTGTATGCTAAAGTCGATTGTTGTACTTGAGAAGCCAAAAAGCTAATCTAATATTTTTTGGCTAATATAATAATATCAAGAACATGTATTTAGCATCAGTGGGAAACAATTCTTAATAGTAGTTCCAGTTTAAATTTAATATATTTTTTTTATTCTTTGTAAATACAATGGTTACAACCTTAACTTCACAAATCAGTTAATTCACTTTTGTACAAGAGAAGTTTATTCATTCTATGATATTTCAAGTGCTGATTTTCCTTTCTCAATGCTATTTCCTAAAACAAAAACCTTGAAAAAAGTACAATGGTTATTTTCCCCTCCCTACATTTTAATACTCTCGTCAACTTAAGCAGTTCATAAATGTGCTTGGGGTGGTGAGGATTAGAAAGCATATGAGAAAGGTTTTAATGGATCTTTAATGTATGTACATCAATATATAAAATATATATATATATATATATATATATATATATATATATATATATATATATATATATAGTATATATAATCTACAACAGCCTTCCCCATCTTAACATCTAGTCCTAGCCAACATGACCCATAAGTGGAATGATGTGTTTCCTAGTACAGTATCAAGCAGACCAGAGAGTCTCAAAGATAGTTACGTTTGTTGTATTGAGCAACTGATTTTTCAATAATTCATAATATTTTCCATTCTTTTGTAAGATGGGTCCCTTCTTATGCATCTCATTAACAAGGAGTTTGGGCATCATTGCCTTTGGTTTCAGCCTTATGCCAGTGGAACAGCGATGAAGTCACTGCGTCAGTCCTCTCCATTTTTTTTTTATTTGGTTTTGCTGTTTAGTCTCTTAGTGTGTATTTTTCTAAAAAAAGGAAAACTCTTTTTAAAGCTCTTCTGTCTGACATATTAAACCGAAATGAAATGATGTCAAGATTTAGGCATGAAGTCCACCATTGGTTTAAAAAAACCTTAAATAGCAAGCCTGGCAAATTTGAATTCAAAAGGTATTTGCCAGAGTACACCCTAAAAATTCATTGCAAAGGCCACTTTTATTATGTTATAACTGCCATAAATGTTTGGATAACCTAGTATTCAATATTACCTGTCATGTAAAAAGGATTCACCGACAATTAGTTAAAAAAAAAACCACATATACACAAATTGTTGAAGGCCACTTCATGACACAATACAACAGAACAACGTTTGGTTACCCAACTTTTCAGAGTATGGAATAAACAAACCCTAGAGATTCTTTTGCTTCACCTTGTCATCTCTCCCTGTTTAAACTGTGGTTTTTCCAAACCTGGATCTAAGAACAACAGCGGAACGGGCAGCATCAAGCTGCAACGGTGGGAACAGCTGTCAAGTTCAATTGAGCTCCGTTTTAATATGTAACAATATTTTCTCCCAAACTTACAAAATGTTCTCTATTGATTGATTTTGTGGTTGGATAAAATGTCTCCAGGATCCCATTTCTTGTAGAATTATTTATCTGATGTTTGCTCTCCATTCGTTAAAAAAGGTCTTTAGAAATGATCACCTGGCTTCTCTTGGTTGCCCCGTGTCAGTTCTATATGTCACTGGATTTATACATATCTGAAAGCAGTCTTGTAATTGGCACGTTCCCAATTGTTTTTTTGAAAAATACTTCTTCTATCGTTGAAGGACTAATTGAACGTAAAGCTGGCAAGAGCAACAGCAGTTTCCCAAAACGACACGGCTGGGTAGGATACCTAGAAACCAAATGTGGAGGTTAATCCTACGAACAAATAACACTGATAAACCACGTTAAAGCTATAGATCCTTTCTTTTGATAAAGGCAGGCAAAATGCCATCTCTACAGCTTTATTGTGCTTTTGAACAGAAAAGGAAGTAATGCCCTTGATTATTTATTTCTACATCCAGGGTCAGCACGTAGGCCTATACATCGGAGCAACTTGCTCAAAAAGGCTTTAGTCAAAAAGATTAATTGCTCCGCTTTGGAGGAGAGGAGATTTTATTATATCAATGTATGTATATTGTGACTCTCCGGAGATTGTATTGTGACGGGTAACATTTAAGTAAATGTATCAATTCCCCCCCCCAAGACAACACAAATATAAATTAAATGCATACGTTATAATTTAGAGTCCTGAAAGCCATCCAAATGCCAGCAGAATTAAAATATCAAAACTAAAGCAAAATCTCTTTCCCGAGTCAAAGCCAGCTGGCAGAGGCAGCTCACTTGGAAGCATTTAAGAAGCATCCTAAGGACCAAAGCAATGCAGCCTGCTTTCACAGGGTGCTTCTTCCTTTTGAGTCCCCCTTTCTTCTTCACAGGCTCCTCAACCTCTGCAACCAGGGTGCCTCCATTTCTCACAAAGGTAGGACTAGGGGTACCCTTACCTCGTATGAATGTAGCTATTCAGGGTGAGCTGAGCTTCATCTTGAAGAGCTGCAATGGCGGCAGCATTTCTAAAACTTCTCAGTTCAGAACCGCTGTGTGTAGGTACTGCAAGCAGACAGTCCACTTAACTCAGAGAGATAACCACTCTTCGCATATTACCAGGACAATCAAGTCAAATCTTAGCAGGATGGTTGCACTTCATTAGCTATTGGCAATTTCATAATAGCACTAAATTAATGGAGCCAGTTATCTTGGTTTGAGGGCACTGGCAGGACAACTTGCCTGGAAAACTGGGAGCAACAGCGTTTAAGAAACAATTCTATTTATTTTCACTTAAGAAGTGCTACAGCTTGTTTGCAAAATTCCAGTTTTGAAACACCAGCCAAACAGATTGAAAACTCGATACTACAAGATTCTGAAACTCTGGCTTTAGCCAAGCTTGAGTGATTTCTGCATTATCCTTGTCCTTCTGCTGTGCACATATGCTATGTGAAGCAGGCAGCCCTGGGGTTATCCCCGGGATGTAAAGAAATAGGATTTTTCAATACATCACAGATTGCAAGTTTCTAATTTCCTTTACTGCTTGCTGTACCCCTCAACAGGATTACTTGATTACTTTTAATGCAAAGGCGTTAATATTGATATAACTTTCCTGTTAATATAAACAGGAAGTGATATTAATATGCTAAATTCTCCCAACACCTGTAATGTCTTCCTTAAAAGAGCAACCAGACTGAAACTAAAGTAAAATTAAACTAATAGCAAGGATGGGCACATTTTTTCACATTGGAATCTCTTTGCTGCCTCAGTCGGGGAGAAAAAAAAATCTATTTTCTTTTACAGTATGATAATTTTAAATGTTCTGCAATTAATACTGGAGGTAGGTCACCAAGCTACGGGACACAGCAACTTGATACATGCTAGTAAGTCTTTCTTTATATTCTTACCTGCTTTGAAAGTGACAATACATTTGAGGCAGGCAAATTCTGTGGCATCTAACCGAAGCTGTCTAAATCTAGCCACCACCTCCTGTAAGGCTTGTATTTCTGAGATAATCTTATTCAGCTTTTGAGAATCTGTGTTGTCACCATTCATGCCTGGAAAAAAAATGTGTGAAATGAATGCACTAATAAGTCATTTGAAGTACTTTGATAGATTGGTGTTTTTTTTTTAAAGTATCAATAGACGTGCCATTGTTACTTTCTCAGATCTGCTTCGACACAAAACTGACGATATTGTCGGAAAGTTAGTGCAAAATCTTTTCTTGGATGATAACAAACACAGTAATTTGCATTTAAATGACAATGCAAGCAGTCATGAATGCAACAAAACAACATTATTTGCATTTAAATATAGATTTATAAATGACAGGTATACTCTATTGTTTGGAACGGATTTGGTATTCTTTACATGTTGTCTTGTTTTCAATAATGTATTTTTATGGTAATTTCTATAACAAAGTCATTAAATTGTGCAATTCTTACCCGATACAGCCAGTAGAGTGTTAGCATCAACTGGAATGGCCCATTGTGCTATTCCTAGAACAAACAGTTCTCTCCAAGCATCTTCCAAAAGCATCAGCTGTCATACAATAGAGGTAGGATATAACATGGTGTATAATTTATAGATTGGTAAACAATTTCAACATGTAAATTTCTGCTGTTTGAAAAAAAAAGGGCTTTAAAATGCCCATACTTACTCTTTCCCCACCCCACCCCTGCTTGGATTATTCTAGTGATCCTTTTATCGTTTTGAGGAAGAAGAGTCTGTTAGCATCCAGAAATATTAGCAGATTCCCCCAGATTATGTAACTGTGTTTGTTGGGATGATGCTCTGAAAGGAATCGCTTCATAAGGAGGAACTTATGTATAAACAGCACCTCAGCACTTCACTCTTAAACAACTGGCCCATATCTTCATGCTTTATCTAAAATTGCAGTCGCCCTCCTTGCTCTTTTTTCCCCCAGCCATTAATAATGCATTAGCACCAAATACAGCAGAGCATGATTTGCATTCTTGAAGCTGAGTTAACTTCAGTCAATTATCTCTGCTTTTGCAATCCAACTTTCTTGTGAAATTGACCAAATTGGCTAAGCAAATTACTACTCTACAAATATTGTTGGCATCAGTGGGGAACCTCTTCTCTTTGGGCGGTAGAGCCCTTCCTTTCCCAGGTTGCTCCTGGGTGCTGCATTACCACTGCTTTCTTCAATCCAAATTGGAAAAAAGCTCATTCTAATTGTAAATCCAATGAAAACCCCCCACAATATCCAGTTTGCCCATTGGTTATACTCACTGGAAACAATGGGACATATTTCCCAAACATAACTTATAGAAAGGTTGGAAGAGAGGGGAGACCCGTGAGTGAATGTGTGTATGTATGTGTGTATGTGTGTGTGTGTGTGTAAATAAATAAATATCTAAATATCAGGGTCAATGCATCCTAATGCTGCTCCTCCCCACTGGATAATATGTTGCCTTGGAAACTTCGATGGATAATTATGTCATTTAACCACCAGATCATTGAAAAGCTGGATGAGATGGTTTTTTAAAAAATAAACTGACAAGATGCTGCCCAAAATCCCTAGGAGTAGAAAACCTGAATATTTCTATGTTCTCATGATACCTTTATGGGTAACTGAATCATGGTTTACTCTACAATTCTTAAGTTAACACAGCATAATAAACTAACTACACAGGTTAGGTTTTTACAACCTCTTAGACTACAATGTGGTTGGAAAGTTTATGGTTTATCATACTAGGCAAGTCCGGCCCCTTAGTCTTTGATGGACTGCTTCATCTAGGAATACTTTCCTTTTGGCCTGTTTTTCACAGCAATTGTCCCCTATGAAGTCAGCAGGACTAACAGCCCTTATGTTTGGGTCACAAAAATTGTGACTATTGTCAAATCAACAGAATGGGTCTTCTTCCCAACTCCAGCCCCTCAGTTCTTTGTCCCTTTCTCATGGACAGATTTTTTTGAGCAGATTTGTAGCTAAAAAGGCAGAAAAGACCAGAACTGGAAAGAAGGAATCGTTTTGCTTGTTTGTTGTTTATCGTTTAATTTCTACCTTTGCTCTTATCTGATTATAGCAGAAGTGTGCCCATATCTATCCAGGCCTTCTTTTTAGGGCCTCCAGAATGTCATTTAACTCCACCACTTGAATATTAGTTTCACATCTTTTGGGAGGCTCAAATGTTGTTGTTTTTTTAAAAATATCCCAAACAACTAAATCCTATCCTTGTTTATGTCTATAATGTGGTCTCACTCGCTTTACATTTTCATAGCAGTTGTTGCTCTCCACAAAAACATCAAAGTGTGTCCTTCGAGACCCAAAAGATGGGACATCCTTCTTTTGTGGGACTCAGAGATGGATGGTTGCCTTTTTGTTTGACTTTTAATTTGCTGCAATATTGCTATTCAAGAACAGATTTGTACACCTCCAACACATGACAAGATGGCGTACTGTAGCGATCACCTTGCAAATATTTCCCTTTCTACATATACATCTAGCAATTATAATGTTATTCTCATAAGCATAGCTGTGCAACTATAACTCCTGTTAAACTCAATAAATCTGCATCCTAGTGTAGGTGCAGAAGCTTGAGCTTTAAACAGCCCACTAGTAACAGCAGAAGAGTAACTCTGTCACTCTTTCTGTCTCCCTCATTATTGACTATAATTATTGAAACAAGAAGCTGCATTTAAGAGAAGTGGGAGAACAATAGAAGGGAAAAAACCGTTCCAATTGCAGCCTGTAATTCTCAATTTGGAGTAAGCCGAAACTTTGCATCTCAGAGTCTGGTCTCAAAACCTAGAGGGGATAATGGCGCAGTTAATGAAATCCTTGGGCTTTAAAAGGGTGGATTAATTTCACGTAACAACTCATGAAACTCGCCTTTAATTTTGAGTGCTAAATATGCAGTCAGTTCATTTAAAATGACAGGATAATCTGATTCCTGACATGGATAATAGGCCTATTTCAAAGCGATCTGTTCGGTGATAAGTTTAATCTGCAGTAAGCCATTCCTAGTATATTGATAGGACCCTCATTTCTCTGAAATTCCCCCACCCCCACCTCCCTAACATGCACATACCAATACACAGGTATTTCTTAGTGGAAAAATTACACTGGAAGATGTTCTGGTGCTGTCCACCTATTTGGATTTCAAAAACCATCTTTAAAGCTGGGAGATTTTGGAGAGTGATATATCTGAAGAAGTCCAGATGGGAGAAAGGTTAATACTGGACTAGCATATTTGTGCTACAACAACCTGAACAGCCACCAGATGGCAGCAAAGTGATACATAAAACTCTTACCTCTGTGCTGCCATCTACTGATTGTTCTGATATTTGCAGCCCAGGTTTGATAGCCTAATAATAAGGAAGCAAATACAATCACATACACATGCTAGGCCTTTCAATAATATGCTGGGAATGTCACAGTATAGAATAAATGGGCCGGGGAGGGGGGAATGAAATATAATCTAGCGCAGTGTTTCTCAACCTTGACAATTTTAAGGCATGTGGACTTCAACTCCCAGAATTCCACAGCCAGCATTCTGGGAGTTGAAGTCCACATGCCTTAAAATTGTCAAGATTGAGAAACACTGATCTAGCGTTCATATGATTTTTTCCATTACATTGATAACCCCTTATTTGCATTAAAAATACACAGTGAAGAAACAGGTTGATATTGGATCTGAATTTTCAGTTTAGGTATCCTATATCTCACAGAAATCATCCATATAAATGTAATGTTATAAAAAGAAGCCTACAGAAGCATGGGGGAGGGGAGCTAATTTAATAAGGTATCTGCACTGTACCCTTAAGAAAGCAGAAATCAACAAAGATACTAGCAGTTGCTGATTAAAGCTGACAACGCTTAATATGCATAACAATTATTATTCATAGTAAATGGCTATCATTTAAACCAGGTCAAATTCAATGTGATTATTTAAAAAGAAAAAAAGAAAAAAAAACACCTTCTATCCTATAGAAACAGAGTTAACTTAACCAAATCCATTAGATAACCAGACCCACAGAAAGTTGGCCTTGCCAACCTTTTTGGTTGCAATCAATGGGAGACAGGAAAAGAGACATAAGAGTCAATAAGAATTAAGTGCCATTTGACACCTGTTGAGATGCAGAGGGTCCAAATACAAATCATTTTGGGAAAGCCCCCATTGAACTCTTGATCCAATCAAAATGATATAAGCAGGATCAAGCTCAAATGTTGTTGACTACTTTGTGTGTCTTTGCACTGTAGGAGGGAAACTAAACTGGGAAGAAAAGAAGAAGTGGAACAGGATATGCAAACAGACTGTTCTCCAATTTAGAGAAATTGTGTTATGGGGGAGGAGAGGATTTCCCCCCCAAAAAAAAGAACTGGTAAGAATTGCGGTTTTTCTACCCATTATCCGCTGCTGGAGGCCACTGTCCAAGTCTCAACCTGCTCCCTGGAGTGGATTTTTTTGTTAATGGATCTTGCTCCTTCCTTCTTCCTAAAAATCTGCTTGTCAGAATTTGCCCTTGAAGCCTTTCAGAAACCTGTGCAGTTCATATATTTATTGCATTCTGTATCCTTTAAAATAAATAAAAGTTGATTGGTGGGAGCTGATTGGTGGGAGCCTTGCCTTGCCAGGGGAAATCAGGTGTAGAAATCTCAGCTTCAACAGGAGAAGTCACAATTTAAATATAAAACCAAATAACACCCAGCCTTATTTTCTATCGCAACACAAGTCGGTGGCAAAGAGCTCTCAGTCCATCGCCTTCACGGGGTGCTAAAAAGCTGAGCTGGCTCTCTGCGAAGGGAATCTTGTTGTACTATGCCAGATATTTCAAGCAGGCAGCCAGGCTCTCTGCTATGGAAGAAAGAGACTGATCTCAAGCAAGTTTTTTCAGACTAGGTTTCACAGACTAAAGCAGTGGTTCTCAACCTGTGGGTCGGGACCCCATTTGGGGTCGAACGACCATTTCACGGGGGTCGCCAAACAAGGCTGTCTGCCATTTTTTTCCCCTTTTCTTTGGCCACGCCCCTGGCACCCAGTGATGTATAAGTGGTTGGGGGTCACCACAACAGGGGGAACTATATTATGGGGTCGCGGCATTAGAAAGGTTGAGAACCACTGGAATAAAGGGATCTCCCCACCCCCTGCCCAAATCTATTCAGCCACCCGTTTCTGACTCATGCTACTCTCCTCCCTTCACTGGCTGTACATGGCAGCATTCGCAAGGCTCCATGCCAGAGGCAACTGGCTACCTTTCCCTTGCCTCCCCCCTCCCCCCCAGAAAAAAAACTATATTCCCTGCCTGCCCCAAACTCCCACAAACGTTTCTCGCCCTTCAGAACAAGTGCAGTGAATTCCTCCTTCTCTGTCTCTCTTTGCACTTAACGGCCACCCTTTCCATGTTTATGAAACCCATAGACACATCACCTTTGCCAGGCTTTGGGCTGTCCTATGATTTTATTATTGATTTTATTATTCATTTTTTTAAAAATCCTTTAGCTGGCTTGAATATTCGCCAAAGGAAAAGGTGAGGGATAAATCACACAAATCTCTTATTCGTTTGGTTAGCAGAGCACCCGTGATCCCAAAAGTAAATCAACCTCGAAGGATGAGTAAAGGAAACAACACGGCCAGACACCTCTTCCTCATCACCCCTGTGTAAGGTTTACCTGATCTTGTAAGGAGAGAGTAGAAAAGGCCGGGACACTCTTGGCCCACTTGATGCTCATAAAGAGAAGCCTTGCTGCAGACTCGCAGACGGATTCTGTGGCCACTTCGTACAGGTACATGGGAGTACCGCTGACTTCATGTGGATACTAGTAACAATGTTTTGGAAAAATGGATGGTTGGCAAAGGAGCACCCATTTAAACAAATGCATTTCTTAATTATTTATCTATTTCTCAGAGAGATAAAATCTGAATAGGACAGGAGAAAAAATGGAAAGGGGAGATTTGGTAACCAAGCACAACCTTGTATTTCTATCCGTTATCTGAATTCACTCTTTATCTACGGTACTATGAATATAGATGAGGTACTGGCTAAGGAGACTGTACGGTTTGTACCTTAAATGGCCATTCTTTCCCCAGAAAAAGTACAGGCTAGAAGTTGATGCTGGATTGTGTTTCTTGCGGAAAGCTTATGCCCAGGCACATTCACATACAATACATATAGTGGTGCATATTGGTACATGTACACAGGCACAGAGAGAAGCCAGATATGCACAAATAAGCAACACTGTGTTGGAGTACCTAGCCATCCTTAGCAATTTTTTTTAAAAAAAGCTACATAGGTTTGGATTTAAATTCAACAATAAAATCCAAGAGCTGTAAATTTGTCTGGGAAGTTTTAAAAGTTGCAGAGGTAAGGACAAACTATTTCCAGCTGGTTGTCAAGAAAACAACATGAGTGTATCCATGTAGTAACCAGAAGTCAAGCTCAGGAAGAGCGAGTTTGCTTTATAGAGGCAGAAATAGAAGATGTGTTATCTCACTTTTTTCATGTTTTGAGAAGAATTAAGGAGCAAAATAGGTAACTTAAGTCGCCAAGAGTTATACACTATGGTAGTGCCCATTTTGTATCTTAAAAGGCCTCCATTTCCTCAAATGTAAAAAAAGAGGAGCAACACTTTTGGCCCTGCCCATTCCAGTATGATCACATCACCAGTCATACCCTTTCACCTTGAAGGCCAAGGTTTTTTTAACTTAAAAAGTTAAGCCACCAGAAAGTTATCTATCCTTGCATTAAATGATAGACACTTTAAAAGTGCACAGGATAGCACCAAGTTGATTAGGTTTGGTTACAATTGTATTGGATAATCTTCTGGTTTCTGTTCCATTCTGCTACTGTCCCAACTGTTGCTGGATACAACCAAATATGTCAGAAGAGGTGCAGTGGCAACTCATCTAAGCACCATCCTAGACTGATGCATCAGTAATTACTTGGGACCACTTGCATCAGCACAATGTTAAGCATTGAAGAGGGCTGCTTTTCTTAGCAAACAGCCAACATGCAGAATAATAGGTGAGCCACTATTAACTTGTCCACATAAAGCAAGCAGGATATGTCAACAAGTTAATCATCACAGTCATGTCTAACATTTAGCAGTCAAAATAAAATTTACTAGTCATTCAAGCTCAATATTAAATAGGTTTACTGGAGAGTAACCAATACAAGACATGGTGGAATGAACTTCTGTGTTCTTCATTAACCCCAGGTTTTTATACAGTAATTTTTCTTTGACAGTTAGGGAGCTTCTGGTTAGTTGATTGTTTTGGATATATTTTCTTGGTATACCCTGAACCACCAGAGTCATTTTGGAATTGGGCAGGATAAAATTAAATAAATAAATACACTTCTGTTGTTTATTTATTCAGGTGAGTCATGACACTACAGCCCAGATAAAAGAAACCACTGCACAGGGACAAAATATTCAATTGAAGAAAAGTCTTTGTCAAGACTGCAGTGCCTGGTTTCCTTGTCTGGAGTTTGTTGGGACAACCTTGCATTTCCCATAATAAAGAAGAATAAAGGGGCAAACCTTTGGAGTTGGCTGAGCTAAGCCAACTAGATTCTGCCTTTCAGATGCTGTAGAAACTGTGGCTAGTTCTAGATTGTGAGGTTCCAGCTGTGTGACTGCAGTGAAGAAAGCTGGAGCAGGCAGAGCTGCAGAGGAGAAGTGTGGTGTGCTTCCGTTATCTTGTTTATGCCCTCTGAAATATAGAGCTACTTGTTTCCTGATGGTAGATGTTCTTGGTCCCCTTTCATGTTGAACAGCTGGAAAAATGAGAAGGCAAAGGAGAAGGAGAAGATTAGGAGAAGACATAACCATTTTCAATCAATTTGCTGAGATATATACATGTCTTTTTAAGTTTGATCATATCTGTGTAAAAACAAGTTTAACACTTAACTATTGCTTTTCAAAGACCAATTGATAATTTGCTAACCTGTTGAAATATCATGAGATGTTTAGGGGAAAAAAACTATTTCTTGAGAGTGAAAGCATTAGCAACATAATTTTAACATATGCTATAAGGGGGACCAAAAGAAGACCAGAAAGGAATATTTATTAATCTCCTTGGAAGAAATGGACAGACAGATGACAGATTGAGAGATAATGCTCTCTGTATCACAGACAAAGAACTTGTGGCAATGAACTAAATTTTTCAGATTGTATTAACTAAGTAGTTAAATCTTCAATGATAACTGCACATGATTATATCTGAGAAGTAGTTCAAATAGAATACAGAATATTAAGACAACTCTGTGCTGCCTACAAGCCTAAATAATTCATAAATTAAGAAATTTCAGGGGTCTCAAGAGAAATGGAAAATTGATAACAATTGGAAAATAGTAAAAGAAATAGATTTGATTTATTATAAATCTGATGGTAGCAGTAGAGAATCTCCTATTTGGATTAATTGGCCAGTACATTAAAAAAATAACATGACTGGGGATGTATTGGTATAATGAGTTGTTGAAGATGATCACAAAAAAGGGAATCTAGTTTTGAAGCACCATGTCGATGGAAACAAAAAGTACTTTTAATATACATTGATGCTGTGACAATAAAAGTACTGTGTAGAAGCTCAATCAATCAATCAACCAGATATTGCTTTTGATGATATAATATATAGTTTTGTTAAACTATCTTGATACTCCTCACATTTAGTTTTTGTGGAATCCTATAACTGAAAATAAATCCCACTGTTCACTATCTGCATATTAGGATGTCTGTTTAAATAGGCAATCTAATATGTAAACACTGGATTTGAATGGAGACCACTGTGGAAAGCTATTATTAAGCCAAATGTCTCAAAATAAGTTTAGATTAGGAAACAAGCTACTGTTGCTTATAAAAAGACACAGAGACAAAGATGTAGGAATACAAAAAGCATAGCAAATTATCTGAGCAATAATTGGGGCACAGGAAAGAATGTGAAAGGATGCAAAAATACCATCTTTATTCATGTTGACTTCCAAGCATTTCTTCAGCCGACATGCTCTGCATTGGTTCCTGTGTGTCTTGTCCACTGGACAGCCTCCCTGAAACACAGATATTTAAGTAAAAGGGAGGGACAAAAGTAAATCTGTCAACACTCAACTTATAGAATGGAAGGGTGCTTGATAATATGTCTCAATACACACAAATACATGTATTATGCAGAATAGAGCTTCATTTTAGATTACTCCAGAAAAAGAAAATGGAAATCACCTAAGAAAAAACAGAACCACACACACACATTATTCCCCAATCTGGTGTTCTTTAGGTTTATTAGCTACAATTCCTATTCTGAACAATCAGCTCAAATAATGTACGTTAACAGATATAACTAGCATATCAGAAGGCAAGTAATAGAAGAAGCTCTATGGATCAGCTTTTCCCAATCTGGTGCAACTCAGAAATATCATAATTTAACTTTTGTATTTCATAGCAGTACTGATAAGTGTCGACAGGATACTAGGACAGTGGTGGCAAACCTATGGCACGGGTGCCAGAGGCGGCACTCAGAGCCCTCTCTGTGGGCACGCACGCCGTCTCCCCAGTCCTAAGCCTTCAGCTGGGTTTTATAAAACCTTTTCGTTTTAGGCCTCCACCGCCATGTGCAAAAAAAAAAAAAAGGTTCAATCAGTCAATTTCAACTTCTCACGGGAAAGAAAAGGATCTTGCAAAGTTGGACTTGATTGATTGAACTTTTTAGACCCACCCAGTCTGCCGTTATCACTGCAGCCACGCCCACCCAAGGGGCCACGCCCACCCAAGGGGCCACGCCCACCCAAGGGGCCACACCCACCCGGCACCCGACCATGCATAAGTGGGTTTTGGGTTGCAGTTTGGGCACTCGGTCTCTAAAAGGTTCGCCATCACTGTACTAGGACAATGAGGTTCCTTCAGCACCCAAGACAGCTCCCTTCCAACGCTCTTGAAAATCTCGTTTTCACCAGAGGACTGATTCATCAATCTGATATTGAACATCTTTCTATTACAGCCTACTCAAAGGTTCTCCTCATCTCCCCACCCCTGTCTTCCTCCCAGTTTCTTATGTCTCCATAAGACTTTCCTCCTTGGGTTTTTTTTTTTTAAGGGGGGCATAAATTGACGGACTATATCAGGCTGCTGATAGAGTTGTTTTAGTTTGTATGGAGGCCTTCTCAAGCCTCCTGGACTGACTGGGGTGCCTCACTATTTCTCCAGCCGGCCAATACCTCATTGGTTATTAGCCAGGAGCCTACACTCTGTCAAGTAGAAATGCATGACACCCAAGCAAATCCAAATTATGGTGAAGCAATCACCGGCTGAATGTATTGGGTTAAGTGTTCATAGAACTCCACTGGCTGGCGGGGAGGGAACTCAAGGGAGAAAATTACAAAACAGATTTAGCTCTATAATGGGCAGCGAGACACTGATCACAAATCCCACGCCTTCTGCATGCAAAGCAGTTGCGATGGAACCAACAAGAAAAGTTGAAATTATGTTGAGAGGGTGTCTTAAAATTCCAAATGTAAGGTAACAGAAACCAATCCCCCGGTGTAGGAACACCAGCATAAGCACCCACTTTCCTGCCTCTTTCCCTTCTAGTCTGTTCGACCGTGGACAACTTTTGGACAGCTTCGTGGGAAGCGTGTCAAAGCCGCGGGTGGTGGGGCTGACTCGGGGGGGGGGGAAGGACGTGCTCCCCCCCCCCCGAGAAAGACCAAAGGCGAGCTCCCTCTGCTATAGCTCGTTGAGAAGCTGCTTGCGGATAAGCCTGGGGTCCAACTTTGGAGAAAGGAGGGGCGGCTTCGGGGTCAGGAGACCCGCTCTGTGCCTAGCCCGAACTTCGTAGGGTCGACGAGAGCTCCGAGGCTCGCTGAACTGGGCGGAAACTCCGCTGCGCTGCGCACACCTAATTTCGGCGTAGGTAATCGGGTGACACAGAGACTTACTTGCACCCGGAGGATTGAATCTTGAGGGGGCAGAAAAGTCCCCCCCCCTCTGCTGCCCTCGGAATAAGCCTCCCTGAAATCAATTGGAGGCGTTTCCGAGCAGAGTTGGACAGAAGGGGTTCGCTCCCATTGAAGGGCGATCGAAGCACGGAGGCTGGGGCTCCTGGCCTTTGCTGCTCGGCAAAGCCTTCCAGCAGCCACTGGTAATGGGGCATCGTCAGCAGAAGGGTGAAAGGGAGCTGGCTACAAACCCACCCACCCACACCCTCTCCTTTTCCGGAAGAGGGAAAGGGAACGGAGACTTTCTTTCAGGGCTCTGTCTGGACTCGGTTTAGCTTGCTGGATGAATCCAGCAGGTTTATGGCTTAGCCAAATCGCGCTTCAAGGAATCAGAACTTAGAACGACGTGAATCCTGTCTAAAAGCAGAGCCCGTTTCCAGCAATTCCTCTTTTAACAAGGCAGCCTGGCTGCTTCCCTCCCTGGCCCCCTCCTATAGCTGCCAAAAGAGCGGGAAGATAACCCAGCAATTCTAAGACAGGTCTGTTTTGGAGCGAATTTTAACGCTTCAAGGATTACTAAACTGACTCACTGAACTCATCCCTCATTGGTCATGATTTATTACTTGTTGCTTGCATGTTCTCTGAGAGCTTATGCACCGGAGACAAATTCCTTGTGGCCAATCACACTTGGCCAATAATTCTATTCTATTCTATTCTATTCTATTCTATTCTATTCTATTCTATTCTATTCTATCTATATTCTATATTCTATATCTATTCTATTCTATATTTCTATTCTGTTCTATTCTATTCATCTATATCTATATTCTATATCTATATATCTATATCTATTCTATTCTATTTTATATTTCTATTCTATTCTATTCATCTATATCTATATCTATATTCTATATCTATACCTATTCTATATTTCTATTCTATATTTCTATTCTATTCATCTATATCTATATTCTATATAGATATATATATATATATTCTATATTTCTATTCATCTATATCTATATTCTATATTTCTATTCTATTCATCTATATCTATATTCTATATCTATATATCTATAGCTATTCTATTCTATATTTCTATTCTATATTTCTATTCTATTCTATTCATCTATATCTATATTCTATATCTATGTATCTATTCTATTCTATATTTCTATTCTATTCTATTCTATTCATCTATATCTATATTCTATATCTATATCTATTCTATATTTCTATTCATCTATATCTATATTCTATATCATTCTATATTTCTATTCTATTCTATTCAGCTATATATATATTCTATATCTATATCTATATCTATATCTATATTCTATTCTATTCTATTCTGTTCTATTCTATTCTATTCTATTCGTTCAAACAGTAGGCACGCATTCCGAAGAGCCCGTTGAGATCGGGAATTGCAACAGGAATTCCGCTGAATTGCAGGTCCTGCTAACTGAACGGGGCGGGGCAAAAGGTTGTCGCTTTTCCACGCCTGCAAGGACGCCCGCTTTGCCCTCGACGGCAGTGGGCAGAACTCGCTCGCGGCGCTCTGAAGAACTGAAGCGCTGCGGACCTAGAGTCCTGCGCCTGCGCACCCTGGCTCGGAAGTTAGACGCTGGCGGCTCTGAGCTGGACGAGAAGAGCGAAGTCCCCCGACAACTCGCCCGGAGAGCAGGCGCTGGAAGATCCGCTTAGCAGCCGTCATCTTCACTGGCGGCAGAGGGAAACTGTCATCTAATAACGTGTTGGAGGAGCACCTTATTGGAGAAGATTGGTCTTTAACAGGAATGGCGAAACTGGCCTGACCCCAGACGTTGCTCGTTGGGGCTAATGGGAAATGAACTTCAGCAACATGTCTCAATATGACTCCTGCCAGAGGAGACAGAGCTGCAAGTTTTGATCTAGACTAGAGCAGTGTTTCTCAACCTTGACAATTTTAAGGCATGTGGACTTCAACTCCCAGAATTCCACAGCCAGCGTTGCTGGCTGTGGAATTCTGGGAGTTGAAGTCCACATGCCTTAAAATTGTCAAGGTTGAGAAACACTGGACTAGAGCAATCATCCCCCAAGGCTTTCTCAAAAAAAAAAAAATTTTTTTTTAAAAAAATGCCAACCTATGTTGAAAAATAATACGCTGCAATGGAAGTAAATACGTCATTTTAAAATTTTAATATAAACGTTAAAAGCTCTTCTGGAGTCTTCCATATTTTTAAAAAAACAAAACAAAACACTGGTCTGGACAATGGTAGCGTTAGGAGCCTAATGTTCTTAAGAGACCTGTCTGACTACAGAAGCAATTCTCATTTCACTCTTACTTTGGTTTCTTTCTATAAACTCCAAATGAATTGGAGCATTAACGTACTGGAGAAAAAGTATTTAAGTCAGTTTCTCAGGTAATAATTGGGGCAAAGGAGGGATGAGCAGTAGAGACTGAAATCAACCATGGCCCCACATGGAGGAAATGATGCAACGCTCAATATTTTATAAATACCTTGATTTTGTAAAACTGAGATATATAGATGGTGCTGGATATTTACAACTCCTAATTCTCAACTTTTCATTTTTCTCTGGTTCCCTAAAGATCTTTCTGCTTTATTCAGGCTACTTGGCTTCCCTCAAGAAGTGAGTGGAAAACTTCAAATTAGGTTTAGGTTTTATCACTTTAAAAAAATTACTATGTTCTCAAACATTCTGGTTCTAAGTGAGATGACCACACACACACACACACACACACACACACACACACACACAACCTCCAAAGTTTCATGACAGTTAACTAAGCAACAATGTAGCTGGGAGGCAATAGGATGAAGAGAAACACAGTATGACAGGAGAAAAAATAGGCTCAGAACAAATTTTTAAGTATAACAAATGGCAGAGACTCTTCAGTCAACTGTGGGTCAGGTCCTACTTTAGAATGCAAGTAAAGGTGTCTGCCCATTTTAGGAAAAAATAAGTATAAGGTAACAATTGTGTCATATATTTCTATTCAAGGATTTGTCTTTTTTTAACCTGAGGAAAAGTTAAAAAATATAATACTACTGGTACATCCGCCATTTAAAGTGTAACTAAGCACATTGCTCTGGACTTAAAAGATCCTGAGTGTTTATTAGTATGTCACCTCAAAAAAGAATTTGGTAGATCACATTTGGCAAAGGCGTTCAGAACTGAAGCATACTCATCTACATACATTTAGAAATAATGATTAGAGTGTCTTTACATTTCACAGAAGGTAGCCGATTTTGATTCAAATAATCTCAATAAATTCTTCTCTGGATTTTCACCTCACTCCCCCGGGTCATATTAAATAGTAGTTCCTTTTCAATTAATTTACTACCATTTGGTTTTCATTAAATCAATTTAACTTCCATTTAATTAACCTCATTTATTATAACCCAATCATCTCTGGATTTCAGCAAGACAAATGTATTTTGTTGGGTGGCAGAAAGGCTAGATTTATTACAGTGTTTCTCAACTTTGACAATTTTAAGGCATGTGGACTTCAACTCCCAGAATTCCACAGCCAGCAATGCTGGCTGTGGAATTCTGGGAGTTGAAGTCCACATGCCTTAAAATTGTCAAGATTGAGAAACACTGGGCTAGAAAGTTGCATAATCTTTTGGAAAGGAGGAGGAGGAGGAGGAGGAGGAGGAGGAAATAGCCCTATTTCTTCTCTTTTGTGAATTTATTGGTAAACCACAACATATAAAACATTATTTTCTAAAAACAAGCAGGAAAACTCCCTGCCTTTTTTGACTTTTGCAGCTATCCAGATGCTGCTTGTCTGGCCTTGTTGTTTATTTCAAATGCTTATTAAAGACCTGGATTTTCCACCAATGAAGTCTCTTTGTGGATCAAAGTTTCAAATATACCAGGACTCAATGTGTCTTTCCATCCATTATTCCAAATAAAATAACCTCCTACCCATGGCTCAAAAGTGTTAAAAAAAAAAGAAGACAAGGCTTTCTTTGATATGTTTTTGCATACAATTTGTAAGTTGGCCCCACAGCAATAACTGTTCAGATGCAAAAAGGCTCACTATAGCTACATAAAATCATCTGAAAATTTGGAAAGTAAGTTAAAGTGAAGTTTATAGCATTGGAAGAATTAACCCAGATGAGAAGAATTACTTTCACAAGAGAGTTTCCTTGCACTTTTAATAGCCTTAAGAAAATAATTGTGGCAGAAACTATTCAGCATGGAAAGAAATGAGAAAAGTTGGAGGTTGCACAATTCCATTTTCACACCACTTTGAAAAGTGTGAAGTATAAAGTGTAACTTTATTTGCATAGGAGTTTGAAGGGAGAGGAAGGGAGGAAGAGTACATGCATATGTTGTGCATGTTAATAAAATGAAAAGGGAAAGGAAAAATTATAGGAATATATTAATAAGGAGCATACCTGGTTTTTTTTGGGGGGGGGGAATGATGAAGAGAAGAGGATTATCAATGGACATTTTCCCATTGGGAAAAACACCATGATAATTGCTCTTCCCGGCTGTTTGAAAGTTCACTGCTTTCAAAAATGGAGGTGCTATTATTATGGGACAGGAAAATGACAGACAGAAAACAGAAAGAGAAACTAAGATCCCAGTTTTGCAAGGTATCTGATAAACTGATTATGAGAATGTAAAGAAAAACAAACATTGGAAGTTTTGAAAAGGGGAAAGAAAAGAAAGAAATGACTGGGATATTATGGGGACCAAGAACGTACTCTAATATTTTCAGCCATCCTAGTGCTGCACACGTGCTGCTATAGTAGCTGCTACCTAGTTACAAGAGAAGGCCATCCTCAAGGCTCTTGCACTAGCTCTACAAAGACCACTGAGGTGCTCCAGCCATGATTCCATGGACCAAAATCTGGGCCAAAGAGCAACTGCCCGTTGATTGCTCAAGTCCCTAGCAATCAAATGCTATGCAGAGGCGGGATGAGATTGAAATGCAGTGCATATGACCAAACTGAGGTAAATGGAGTAGCAGATAACACATTGCTTAGAAGGTGATGTACCATTAATATCCACCAGAATTTCCTTTGTATCTTGTTTACCATCTGCCAAAATAAAAGCTCAGTTGTTACCCTCTTCCATCTCCAGAATTCCACCATGCAAGGGCTTGTGTGTCTGGGGAGTTTGTCTGCTTTGGGGATTTTGTGTATTGCACCCTTTATTCCTGGTGCCTGGGAGAATGTCACTCCCCTCCCAGGATATTTAAACAAGTGGAGCAATTTTATAGTTCCAATGGCCTTGGGCTGAATACTACATTCTAATAGTGTTATGTATGTCTACAGTGTTATGTATGTGTACACTTTGAGAGCAAGCAACTAAATTTCATTTTTAATGTGTGCCATTGTGCCCATGGTAAAAAATGACAATAAAGATTATTCATCTATCTAAAACACTTTTTCCATTAATTGAAATGGAAAAAGTGCCCAAGTAGATTCTATCCGGGTTACACAAGCCATTTTGTGCTAAAAGTCATACTTGCCTTTCTGATTTGTATACTACTAAGCTAGGATAAAAAAAACAACAACACTCTGCAATGTATTAAATTAGATTAGAATGAATATGCCCATTCCTTATCCATTTAGTACAGTAAATATCTCCTCTCTATATCAGATACAGTGAACTTGGGGTAGGGGTACCCTAAGAGCTGCACCCGAATCTTTAGAAGATTCAACTTGTACACTTTTTCTTGGAATAACTGTGGGGTATTTTTTTTTCCTGGCAACAATCCAATGTTGGCCACAACTTCTAAGTTTCCTCAATGTCACTATGAGAGTAACTCTCACATTTCATGTTAATTTAGGAGATAACTATTTTCACTGAACTTGTGATTTCTATTCTTCCCCACACACACACACACCTGTCTATCAATAAATATCTCACAGGACATTAATTCCTCCTGTCCAGATTCCTAATATTTTAAACAATTGGCAAACTGGGACCAGGGAAAGGAAATCATTTTTAAAGGGACAATGAGTCAATCAATGGGTGATATTTACTCAGGACCACTTAGTTAGGTCAATGAAGTGAAATATCCTGGTGCTTTTATCTCTACAACTACAAAGTTCCGTGGACTTATTTGGAATATGTCCGATTCCTATATACTGCAGCCATCTTCAGCCAGCACCTCAAAATTTCAAAAAGACTACTTAGGCTGTGAATTTCAACCTTGCCTGATACGTTTCCTTGCCTCAAATGTTACAGTACAAAAAAACGTGTTACAGCTTTATTTTAGAGTAAGCAATATCAAATTAAGCCGGATTTGCTTCTAAATCAAAATGCATGGCATTGAGCTATACATTTTGCTAACTACATCAACTTTCCTTGCTGCTCCTTGTGCACAGAATTGCAACTTTAAAGTACCCCCAACGTTTACAGGATCTTAAGCTAAAAGCTTCAAGGAGAATCTATCCCACTCTTGCCGACTCCACAATTTATTTTAGGGGGACGAGAGAAGCACTGAACTTTTTTTTTCTATCTGCTTTGAAATATTCAGACTGCGAAATCCATATTTAGAAGATATGCCTTTAAGATGTTGGGGTGATATACATATTCAAACATATTATTGGATGCACCGCAACCTCTGGCACGTTAATTGAAATTTGGTGCTTACCTAAGTATATATCATTTTGAAAAATCAAGAGGACAAGGCTCCCCAGGTGACAGGAATTTCCACTATAATACGGTATATAACTACTTTGCCCAAACCATAGGGAAGGGATGACAAGAAATTGTGCTATAAACAGTACCTGGTTTCCAGACTTGCAGACATACGTCCTATTCCTTCTGATGCTTCGTTTGAAAAACCCCGAGCATCCATCGCAGGCATAAACCCCATAGTGCTTGCCAGAACTGCGGTCACCACACACTTTACATGGGATATCTAAAATCCGGCCTGAAAATGAAAGTGGCAGAGACAGATTAAAAAAAAAAGTGAGCAACCTGATCTTTTGGAAGCAATAGGTACCAGAACTGGCGGTCATCCTAATAGCCATAGAATTTTAGAGTGAAATAGGTCGTTTTGTTAATTGAACAAACCCATGGCTCACAGAAATATAAATTTCTTTAGAGCAGAGGTAAGTCTGCTGTAGGAACTGAACAAGGAAATGGCCCCACTTAATGCAAAGAACATAACATAGCACAATAGGTTTAAAAGCAGGTTTCCTTAATCTTCCGCCTCTGGTTTTGTTAGGCTACCTACCTGCCATTCCTCTACAAGGAGTAGATGATTATTAAAATCAACAGGCTGCGGGAGCATCAGATTGGGAAGCTGGTCACGCTGATAATATAAAGACTCTTTTAAGGTGAGTTTGACTGGAGGTGTCTTCATGTTTCTTATATCATTAATGCATCATTCTTGGTCCCAATATAGAAGTACTTTGTCACTGATTCCTTCCTCCCCCCCCCTTTCCCAATCTTAACTACTAAACCTGAGATTCCCCATTAGTCTTCCATCCAAATACTAACCAAGCTCAATCCTCCTTAACTTTCATAGCTAAACAAAGTCAGCCAGGTGCTAACATATGCTGAGACTAAATAGCTACTTCACCTTGAGTTAATTTCCAGTCAGTTAAAGAGGTGTGCGTATTTCCTCTTTTTGCCTTTCATCATTAACCCCTAAACATCCTGAGCTAGGCTAGGGACATAAGGATAATGATTTATTCAAGATCACCAGAAAATTTTTTGGTGAGTAGTGATCTGAAGATGCATTTCTCCAAAACTATTTCCACACCCCAACAGTTGCCTAAAAATTTGTCTGTGCAGCCCAATTTAACTCTCAATTACTACTGATTTCAGAGTGATTTATTCTGAAGTAGACTTCCTTAGGAACATGGCCTTCATCTGTAAATGGAAAAGTTCAGTACTAACCTAAAAGGGTGTATTTCTCATGAAAATGAAAATATCTAATATATAATATATAATACAATCCCTTGTACAGTATTCCTAAACACATGTGTTTGGTTAAACATTATGCTTTATTTGTTAGGAAGAGCTGCAATTTCTGTGTTTTATTTCTCTACCAATATGAACCATCCTTTTAGCAGTGTCACAAGTCTAAACATCATCTAATCTGATCTTTTTGACCGTAGAAGTAACTGTTGCATCTGAGGCAGATAGCAGTTGGATTCTGCTTAAATACTTCTAGCAGAGCAGCAATGACTTCCTCCAACAAGGCTGGTCCTACCCTTAGATAAAATGAGATGGATGCTTTAGCCTTGGCAGGCGTTTTCTCTTGAAAAAGCCACAGTTATTTGTTATATTTGCATCTTGCTTGCCAGAGAAGAGGAGCTAAGGTGTGAGATTTCCTACCTCAAGTGCCCGCCTAATGTGCCATGAACACATCTCCTTTTGCGTAGTTTTGTTGGCACAACTTGCTTACCCATAGGGAACTTTGAACAAACTGCTTGGAATGGCTTTTCCCCACACGTTATGTTAAAAAGTGGTTGGCAACCCAGCACCATTTTTTCTTCTGCTAGACTACACATGCTGATCCTTCCAATGTCTGGTAGCATTTATCAAAATTCTGCCTTCGTACCCTTACCAAACTGCACTCTTGGGAGTCATCTTGTGTTCTCCTACCACATTTCCACCAAAATTCAGAGTTCTGGCATACCCTTTCTTACTGAGGACCACCCTGCCAGAAAGTTTCATTAAGTTCAAATGGCCTTTGTCGCTTAGTCCCTAAATCAAAACAAACATGTAGAAACTTTAGAGGACCCCTCCTACAGGGAACAACATTTCAGCCTGCCTTCTTCATGTCAGATTTGTTGGCATTTATTCTGGTTATAGTATCAGCCTGCAGTTGCCAGCAAGATACTTCAGAAAGTTTACAGGGGGGGAAAGCATGTGAAATTCGATGGATTCAGCTGCCTAACATTTCTCACTTATTCTATTTGATGCCGAGATTAGTCAGCTGAAAACCAAATGGCTGGGATCCAACTAGTTGTTTCCTCAAGAGTAACTGCTTCAAATTCCTTCCTCCTTTCCTCCAGCCTTCGTCCTAAACCTGACAACCGTTCTTCTGTTGTCTCTTACCTCCCAAGCTAATTTCGATAATAGGCTTTTCATTACTTTGCTCTAACTAACTCACCAACCCTCTATATAGCCTGCCTTTCCCAATGGTGGGCTACAATTCTCATCCGCCAAGGACCATGGTATTTTGGAGGCAAAGGGATGGGAATTCTCATCCATTGATGGCCATTGGGGTTTCAGAAGCTGCTCGAGGATGGATTAATCTTGCTTTTTTGCCCTGCTTGTTTTCATCTCCCACGTGGATTCCTGCTAGCTGACAGCAGTTGCCTAAAAACCTTGGTCACTACCAAGGATTGCCTTAGCCGGACTCCTCTTTAAGTCAGCAGTGTGCAGGCCATCTCCTTTCCCATAGAGTTGAGGGAAGGCCAAGTTCTTGGGCATCAGCGTGAATAAAGTGCCACCAATTCCAGTCTCCTTGAATCAGTTCTGCTGGAATCTCTTTGCAGCTTCTTCGAGATGAAATGCAGTACTGAGCGCTCCTTGCTTACTTTCAACTTGACCAAAGTGCCTGCAGTGAGGCTGGCAGACAGGTGAGGATCTGGTAGCATATTGTTGAAAGCATTGGCAGCTCCAAGACTGATGCTTAGAGTATAAGGGGGCGCACTGCCTGTACTTCAAAGTAAGCCTACACCAGCCAACCATGTCATATCCTGCCCCATCATATCCTGCCCCAGGAATACCTAGAGCGCCGTCCTATTGTCCAAAAAGAAAGTTGACTTGCATAGAGAATACTGTGAAAGCACCCTGGACACTGTGTGTTCAGGATAAAACGCCTGGAAGCAGGCCTGCTAAGCAAATTTGCTTTGTGAAACCAACCCACTGCACTTTGGGACTCAGATGTCAAGAGGCTGACATTAACAGGATTGCCAAAGAAGCCACAACGGAATGGGCCCAGAGATCCCCCCCCCCAGCTATAAATCCCACTTTGTAAACCGCAACTTAAAGAATTTCCCACAACACTGGATACCAAAATCAAACTAACCACGTTGTGGCTTAGTGCCAAATGGGAACTCGGGCAGGGAAAGCGCTGAACACCAAGCTTGAAAATGACTTGGGAGACACCTTCTTCTCACCCTCCTATATATTGACCGGGGGTCCGGGGGAGGGGATGGGTGGGAGGCAGGAAAGAATCCGAACCTCTCCGGAGCCGGTTCGGTCACTGACGCTTCTTGAGTCGAAGGGGGGTCTCTGCGCAAGCCATCCGGAGGGGGGGGGAATGGGAAGGGCAGTGACAAAAATCCGGCTCTCGGGAGCCTCTGAGAAGCCGAACTAGGCTCTGAAAGGAGGCCTCCGTGGCAGACAATGGAGACATTAGATAAAGTGTTAAGTTAATGATCCCCCCCCACCAATAGAAACTCATCTGACCGCCTCCAATCAACGTAAGCCGCCGACTTCTCCCCCAAATGAAACTCGACAGCTGCTCTTTGCAGCAATCCGGACTGGAGGAATGGGATTAGGTGGGGCGCCGGGGGGGGGGGGGGAGAGACAGTCAGAAAAAGAGGAGGGGGCGATCGGGGTTGGGCCCGCCAAGCGAGGGGAGTCCAGGGGGGAGGGGGATCGGTGGCCCTCCCCCCCTCCCGCCTAAAGTTGCGTCCTGTGGTAAGAGGGAGAGAGGGAGGGAGGGGTGGCTGTGGAAGTAGGCGTTGTCCAAGGAAAGTCGGGCCAAGCCAAGCTTGGCTTCTCAAGCGCTCTAATTACACGTCTTCCTTGCCACCTGCCTATTGGGTCACCAGTGACCCGTCAAAAAGGGTAGCATGGGAATTCGGATTGCACACAAAGGCTCCGGAGGAGAGCGCTCGACTCGCCCCCCCTCCCCCTCCTCGCCCCGCCCCCTGTCCCTCGGCAGACTTTCCACACTCGGCGAGAGGGGTGGGGGAGGAGAGAGCAAATCGGACATGCAACGGTGCCAGCCCCTGGTGTTGGGTGTCACCTCCGACAAACCGGGCCATTTCCTTATGCAAATCTCCGGGTCGCATTCTAGACTCGGACTGCTTCGGATCCACCCCTCCCGCCAGCCCTCCTCTCCTCTCCTCTCCTCTCCTTTCCTTCCGAGGAGGACACAACGCAATCCGATTTCAAAGGTTCACCCCCCCCCACTGCGAACGCTACTTAAATCGAGGTAATTTTGGTCTGAGGTATACGGGGGAGGCCGTTCCCCCCCTCGCCGCCAATCTTAACTTCGATTCGTTCTACTCGAAAGAAAGTAATCGCGGGTCGAATGGGACTTTTAGATCCGAATAAAATATCTGTAGCCAACCCCGAGTCTTTCTCTCCTCCTTCCCCCCCTCCCCCACCGTCGATCCAGTTCAAATGCTGGAAGTCTTATTTTTAACCTCGCGATCCAAGCAAAGGAATATTTTGACACGTCGCGCCAGCTTGTTTAAAAGTTTATTTCTCTGAGCAAAGGTAGACTGGAACTTTTAAGTACATATACAGTAGTGGGAAGCACATGAATCGGAGATGAAATTAAAACACAGGCTTATTTCCAAATATTGTGGAGGGGCCTTTTCCCGCTTTAAAAAAAAAAAGGAATCTCATTTTCCGTGGATCCGGCGACCACACGTACCCACGTACTATTTTTATTTTATTTTATTTTAATAGAAACCTACAGTAAGAACGTTGGTGGGCGATGATTCCGAAAACTCTTTCTCGTGCCCTCTCCTGTAACCTTATATTTTAAAAACTCCCAATATTGGATCTGGATTAATTAAACACACAGAGAAGCAAAACAGGCGGGAGTAATTTTCATTTTGGCTTGCAAACACCACCTTCAGAGGAGCAGGAGCCCAGTTTCCCGCCAAACCGCACCGGGTCTCCTCTGTAGCAAATCTCAAGGCCTCGTCGGCAGAGGCGCTCACTTCCAACGCCGGCTGGTTGGAAGCGGAAGCTGCAGCTTGAATCCCGGGGCAATTTGAGGCAGCCTCCCTTGCTCAAAGATCGCCTCGGAAGGAAGTCCTCAACAAATCCAGGGCTGCCGGGCCTGGGTTCCCCAGAAGCCCCGGCTGAAGGAAACTGAGGAGCGAAGCCCCGGCACTGGTTCCCCGGATCTTCTTTCTCCGAAGCCCCGAGAGGCTGGAGCGAAGGCGGCTGCTTGCGAAGGGCAGCGAGAAAGCGCGCCATCCTAGAAAAAAAACAACACCTCAAGAGACCGAAGCCTCCACGTGGACGTTGGTTCCCGACTGAGAAATCAGTGGCGGTTTTTACCTTTCGTTTCGGGGCCACTCGCGCCTTTGCCTTACCCTGGTGTATTTTAATTAACCGGCATTAATTCTGTTTGTATTAAACAGGCGTCGCGGGCCTGATTGCCTCGACGCCCGCTGGGTTTCTTCCAGACTCCTCCGGCGCTGCTTCCCGTCTACCGCTCCGCGTTAGCCACTCCGACTTAATTGGGTGCTTGCTCTGCCTCGCCCCACCGCTCACCCCCCCGCGAAGCGCCCGGAGGTTATCGCCGCAGGCGGTGGGGTTTCAGACGCCCGCCGTCTCTCTTGAACGAGCCTGTTGATTTCAGCGCCGTCGGTGCCCGGGAGCGCACATCCTACCCACCCACCCAGCCAGCTCGGCTTCTCCGGCTTTCGAGGTGGGCTTTCCGAAGGGCCTTTTCCCGCCGCCTCTGCGAACGTCGCGATCCATGCTGGGGAGTGAGTGAGTGAGTGAGTGGGTGGGTGGGGGGCAATCCAGCCGGCCTTGGCCCCCTTCCAAACTCCCCGAGGGAGGACAGCCCATGGCTCTCTGCCTTAAAAACCGGGCATCTTCCCCGACCCTTCTCTAAACCTTAGCCCAATTCTCCCCCCCCCCCCCATACACACACACGTCTCGTCGCCTGGATCTTCTTATGGGACTCTTTCGGGCTTTGGGGGGGGAAGACCCGGCCCTTCGGTCTCAGCCACGGAGGTTGTGAGGCTAAGGAAAGATAAAACGGGGTGGAGGGGGGGGGAGGGAAAGGGAGAAAGTGGCAGCGAAGGAAACTCGGCTCCCTTCTTCAAGCAGGGTCAGCCGAGCACCGCCCAAGGCCGGGCAAAGGCCTGGCTCGGGGCTTGGAGGAGGCTCGGCGCATTCCTCGACGGGGCGTCCGGGAGGGGGGGGGCTTTCTCTCTCCCTCCCCTCCTCCTGTGCTGGAGCCTGGCGTAAAGCTCCCTGGCAGCTTCGATTACTGTAATTACCATCACAGGCTGCTGAAAGAAGTTAGGCGGCTCGAAGGGGACTCCGCGGCGGGGTCCCGTTTACCACCCAAGCAGCGAGAGGCTCGCCGATCGCTCTCCAGCCCTGGCCGAAGGGAAAGCGCAGCCCCCCCCGCAGGCCCCCCCGGGCAGAAGAGGGGGGTTCCTCCTTTCCCGAGGGGCTCGCTTCTTCATCTCCTCTCCGCGGCCCCATCGGGCTTTCCCAGACCCAAAAGCAGACGGGACCACCCGCTTCCTCTTCGGAGAAGCGGCTGGCCGGTCCGTCTGGCCCGGGAGGGCCACGGGGTAACCGAGAGCGTGGGGTCCGAAGCCCGGACTTTCGCCGCGTCCCGGGGAGGCGGCCGCCTTCGTTTTGAAGGCGTGGAGATCCGGGCAGCCTCCACGGCCGTCTCAGACCGAGAGCTCGGCGCGCTGATTTCAGGGCGAGGCCGAGCGTCGTCGGTAGCCGAGGCTGACGGAGGAGGAAAGTTCGCGCGGGGTCTGGGCAGGAGGAGGGATCAGCAAAGCTAGGATCCACCTTCGCGCGTGTCTTGCTCTCCAGATCGACTCCTAAGGGGCGCCGCTTGCTTTCCACAGCGCCCAGTTCCCAAAAGAGGCAATGGGAACCGCCAAGCCCGCGGCTTTAACGGCGAAGGGACGTATTCAATCCACTTCGCTGACCTAACCGGGGGGCCTCGGCCTCGAGGCTTACGGGCGTTGCACCTCGGGGCACCCGGATCGCTTTCCTAAACCTTTCCAAAAGTTTGTAAGGGCTCGTGGAGGCGGGGGAGGGGGGGGCAAAGGATGTTTACGACAAGTGGAATACGGAATTACGTTATTGGAGTTGGACGAGCCGGAGCCGTGTCGTCGACCCAGCTCGACCCGTGCTCCGGCCCGCATTCGGTTTCTCGCACGGGTTCGCGCCTACCCGGGGGGACCGCGTTTCCCACTCACTGGGCTGGGCCTCGGCTGGGGTCGAGCCGGCTGCGATTGCGATTCCCACCCGATCCGAGAGAGGAAAAAAAAGAGAGTTCATCCAAAATCAGGCCCTTCTCGCCGGACTGTCCTATATGGCTGTGAACCCACCTGTTCACTCCCCTTCAGGGAAGCCGGAGCGCGTCCCGAGGGTTTAGAAACAGGGGGTCGACTCCTTCCAGTTTACTTTCCAGCAAGTTTTCCAAACGTCCCCCACGGCTGCCAGCAGCAGAACCAGAGTAGAAGCCTCCCGGGGCGGCTGGAGGCTTCTCTGCTTTTTCCAGGCCGAGCAGCTCAGCTGAGAACGAGTCCCTTGTAGGCGGTGGAAACGTCCCTGCGTTCGGCCCGGCCAAATGCAGACGGGCCGAATCGAAAAGGGCCAAGGTTCCCCCCCCCACTCTTTTCCGAAACGTTTCCCCAGAAAACGGGCCCTGCGCCCCGCACCCCGTTTCCCCTGTCAATTGTTACAACGTGGCCTCGATCCTTCTCCCCACTAACCAGATGGAACCGCTCGCCTTTCTTTCCTCGGAAAAAGGCTTCGCAAAGCATTCTGTCCCGTTAATCACCGCTTCCCGTTTTTCGTTTGGCCCAGGACAAACATTTTGTTGAAGGTACTTCTTTAGGCGATTTCAACACCTCGGTCCAAAAAAAAAAAAAAAGGGCGATTTCAGTTTGTTTGTGACCTGCGACAAAAGTTCCGAACGCCCCCTCGTTGCCGCCTAGTTAATGGAATTCGAAAGAAAGTTTAAGCTAAACTGCAACTTTGCAAGAGAGACGGGCGGGCTGAAAAGAAGGGGAGAAAGAAATCTGGAACTTTTTTTTTTAAGCGAGAACTGCCCCCCGCGCGTTTCTGTTTTCCACCCTTTCCTTACTAGAAAAAAAAAATAAAAAATAAAAAACACGATACAATTATGGCCAGAGGAATTCCTTCCAAACCGGCTTCGCCCATCACCTGTCACAGGCCAAATTGGATTGTGCCTGCTGCTGCTGGCTCCCTCCCGCATCACACTCGATTTCCAAAATCTTGAATTTCCAACGTCTCAAGCCAACTTCTACCCACCGCAGTCAATCAGACTTAAAAAAAAAAAAGGTGGTGGTGGTGGGGGGGAACCTTCAGTTATGAGTGTACCCGGACTGAGGATTAAGTGAAATGTGACTTTTAAATTGTTTCTGCTTCCCCGGTTTTTTTTTTTTTTCGCCCCCAGGATTATTCATTAAGGCTGGAAATGGTGTGCATAGTATTCCCGGGTAAATCCTCTTTCAGCAAAGCCCACCCCTTCTTGCGACTGTAGCTTTCAGCTACGGGATGTTTAAACTTCTTATTAGATGTATTAATTGCAGAGAGGGGAAAATTCCTTCTTTCCTTTCCTTTTTTTCCATTTCAACAACCCGTTCACATTTCAAGGGGGGGGAGGGAAAGACGATCTAAACCCCCCCCCGAGATTCTTTTTCACACGGAAGACACACACACACACACTCTCTCTCTCTCTCTCTTTCACACACACACACACACACACACACACACACACACACACACACACACACACACAACGTCTCAAGTTCATTTTAGGCCCGGGCGGCGCAGCCACTCCACTAGCCCCTTCCAAATGAGCCAAGCCCCCAGATCCCTGACCCTCCGCGCGTTTACTCGGAGGAAGCGGCTTAGGAGAGCCAACGGATCCCAAGCTCAATGACCGACAGAAACTGTTCAGCTCCCGCTTTCTCTGGAGGGAGACCCCGCCAAGCGTTACTCACTTGTTGATCCCGCCGGCTTGCTCATCCTGGGGTCCTCCGGGAGGAGCGCCGTGGCGTCGCTGCCTTAGGGAGGCTCGCTCTGCGGAGGCTGCCTGCGGCTGGCTTGCGGAGGCTCCGCTCCTTCCCAGCTCTGCTCCGGACGGCGTGACAGGTGCTTTAGAGCCCCTTCCTCCAGGCCGAGCCTCGCATCTTTTCTTCTTCCTTCTTCCTCTCCTCCTCCTCCTCCTCCTCTTCCTCCTACTCGCAATCTTCTCCGAATGGCCGGGAGCCCGGGAGCGGAAACTTGGACCGGTTGGCTGATCCGACGTTTCTCCCGGCCAGGAAAGAGCCGAAGCAAGGCGCTTGCACCGTCTTTTCCAAGTATATATGAAGCGCGGCAGCGGCTCTCTTCACCCGGCTAGGGATCCGAAGCTCGGAGCAGGCTGGGTGGCTGGGTGGGTGGCTGGGAGGCTGGGAGGGGGGGAAAGGCGACGCCTGCGGAGAAGGCAGGATTTGAGAAGCAGAAACCGAGCTGAGCAGCTCACTGAGCCCAGACACCGATCGGAGGCTGAAAAAAGTAAGAAAATGCGCGCGGGAGGGGGGGGGGGGACAGAGGAGGAGGAGGAGGCGGCGGCAGAGTCTGGTTCCCAGAAAGTGAATGGCAGCAAAATCAAGAAAGGCAGGAAAAGTGAAAGGGCGCCAGAAGTTCCTCGCCCTGGGTTGACTTGGCGCTTTGAGCCTCCAGTCTGAAGCGCCTGTAATATCCCCCCCGGGAATTCTGACAAGCAGGCAGCCGGCGGAAGGGGGGGGGGAAGAAGGGAGGGGAGGGGAGGGGAGGCGACGCTCCCCTTGGCTTCTCTTGCCCCCTCTCCGCCCCCGCAATCCAATTCTCGGAGAGGGCCGTGACGTCAGCCGGGGCTCTGCGGGAGCGAGCGAGCGAGCGAGAGAGAGAGAGAGCCAGCGGGAAAACTCAGCAAATGAATGAACTTACCTGCCGCTTCTGAGCGGCGGCTGTGGGGGAGCCGGTTTCGGAGCCGGGTCCTCTGAGCAGCCGCGCGGACGCTCGGAAAGAGGAGCGAGAGAGGAAGGCAAAGTTCGGGGGTGGCTCCCGGAGAGCGTCTTAGCGAGTTCGGTTCCCCCCCCCTTCCCTGGGTGAGGCGATTCACTTGGGAAACGCCATTTGCGTCGACCGGCCTCCTTCCTTCGGGACTTAAAGCGACCGCCAACGGCAAAGGCCCCCGGTCGCTACCAACCGCGAGGGGCGGGTTTAAAAGCCCAGGCAGTCCGAAGTCGAGGGATAGCGACCTGTGGCAAAGCGAGGCCCGGTGCATCCTGACTCGAGCGAGAGAGACGGAGGCAATGTGGTTTTTTTCCCCCCCCCCCATCGGGGGTTCCAGTCCCCGGGATGGGAGGGCCTACCAGATCCCAAAGCCAGCCGCAAATAAGAACCGTTCGCACCCTCTTTCGTTGGCGCCCCGCTGCTTTGGTCTGGATTTTTGCAGCCCAGACTTGGTGGCCCTGCTTTGAGGAAGGACAGGAGAAAGCCTCCCTGTGCTGTGATGGAGGGACGCTCCTTGCTCCACAACTCCACAAGGGCTGCTGCAAAAATGCTGAAAAACGTTTGTGAAGACGCTGGGTAGCTCTTCCACTGGGCCCTGCTCCCTGGCGAAGGTTTCAGACAGGTGCCTAGAGTGCATTGGAGGAGAATCAGATGCTCTCTCTCTCTCTCTCCCCCTCTCCCTCCCCCCTCTCTCCTCTCCCTCCCTCCCTCCCTCCCCTCCCCCTCTCCCCTCTCTCTCCCTCTCCCCCCTCTCTCTCCCTCTCCCCCCTCTCTCTCCCTCCCCCTCTCCCTCCCCCTCTCTCTCCTCTCCCTCCCTCTCTCCCTCCCTCCCCCTTCCCCTCTCCCCCCTCTCTCTCCCTCCCCCCCTCCCTCCCCCCTCTCTCTCCTCTCCCTCCCTCCCTCCCTCTCTCCCCCCCTTCCCTCCTCCCCCCTCTCTCTTCCCTCTCCCCCCTCTCTCTCCCTCCCCCTCTCCCTCCCTCCCCCTCTCTCTCCCTCCCCCCTCCCCCCTCTCTCTCTCGTTCTTTTGGTTGCTGCTGTGCCAAGGAAAGCGGTATGTAGGTAACCAAATTCAGGCTGGCCTGGCTGTAGTGTTGGTTGTAAGAACACTGAGATCACGGGAAGGTCCTTGTAGCTCCCGAAGGCCATTTCTTCGCTAAAGGAAGCATCACCCGCACACAGCAGGTGGCAGCACCTAATTGCTGGTGGCTGATCTCGAGAAAAAGCTGGCCGTTGGTTAGATTTGGATGGAAGACCAGCAGGAAAGACCACTGCTCTGGACCACACTAGCAACTGGCAAGAAAATGCTTCCCTACAATGCTCTGTGTGTGTGTGTGTGTGTGTGTGACTGGGCTACGGATAAATCCTTAGAGAAGAAACGTTTGACGTTAGGATTTCCGTGAGATCCTAAGACTGGTCACCCAGTCTCCCATTAGTCATTCAATCTAGATCAGGGGCAGGCAACCTTGGCTCTTTTATGACTCGTGGACTTCAACTCCCAGAATTCCTGAGCCAGCATGGGAGTTGGGAGTTGAAGTCCACGAGTCATAAAAGAGCCAAGGTTGCCTGCCCCTGATCTAGAACTTGTCACTCGATGAAGATTCGGCGGAAGTACATCGTGTTGCAGGAGTGTGTTCCTCAATTGTATCTGTAACATACACACACGGACATCTGGGTACCCAAAGCGATAACACGTGTGCACACACAATTATATGAACAACTTCCAATGCGTGTTTCTAGAGAAGAAGACCTGATAATGTCTCCCAAAAAAACATATACTTTCTCACCTAATGAGAAGGAGATAGCTAAAAGCTAGAAACCCCATCTCTCTGGCCAGCATTAACTATGATGGCAGAACGTTAGAAACTGTAGTCCAGCATAAGGTTGTAATTTCACAAGCAAAATTCTTTGTTCAAGGGAAGGACCCAACACACGGGGAGCTGAACCATTAGCAGCGGTGCACATTATTCCGAGCTGGGCAGGATAATCTACTCCTGAAACTCCTAGCAAAGCTTTCCAGAACTTCTCAAATGTTGTCTCCCGAAAGGTCATTCTTAAGGTGATCGGAGACAATTTTAAAGGAAAGAACTCGGGGTCAGAATCCCTCCCCTCGACCCAAACATCTCGATTATGCCTACCTCGAGTATAGCTCAACTCGAGCTGCAGCCTTCAGGGTGAACATCCAGCAGACCTCTGATCTCCGGTCTCCAGAGGAGTACAGTTGACTTGGAAAAGCAAGACACGTGTGTGTGTGTGTGTGTGTCTCCGTGTTCGTGCGTGTGCGAGCATCTCGTTTTGCATTCAGCTTCTGTTCCGCCACAGATCGAACAACTCAACCCTTCGCTCCGGATCGTGTCATTCCGTTTTTCAGAGAATTCACGGCAGAAACCGCCCCCCCCCCCCACGGAGCTCCAAAGGAAGTCACCAGTTCGGGATCTCGATCCCCGGGCCCCCGTAAGGAGGGCCGGCAACTCGTGACAACCTGCCAGGGAAGACAAAAAGAGGCCACTGTGTGTGTGTGAAAGAAGAGCGAGCCTTCTAAAATACAAGGCCCATCTTCCCCACCGTCCTTGCCCATCCGCTGGCCCTAGCAGAAGTTGCTTGCTTTCCTTCCTCTCTGATCGCGCTCTCTTCCCCCCCCCCTCCCTCGATCTGGAGAGTCTGGCTAAAGAGAGCAAATTGCCCGGGCCCCTGATCTTGAAGAGATTACTAAAGTCGAACTTTAAACCCAATCAGGGACTCTGTCAGTCAAACAAGGGCTTATTAACCTCTCCCAGTGAAGGAGGCTTCTTTGGGGCTATTTTGCATCATTTAGTGCGGAAGAGGGTACTGTGGAGGGAAAAGCGAACCATCCATTGGGGAAGAGCTGTAAATAGAACTAGATGCCGCCCACTTTGTCTCAGGTGCTGATCCATGAGCACAAGGGAGCACCTCCTTGAATTCCTTGGGCTCTAGTTCCTCTGGGAGAGGGGAGATCCCAGGGTCTTTATTGGTCTCTCGTCCAGGAGTACTTATTGCTTCAGAGGCTTGCACTCAGTGTAATAAGAGAGAGTAGAGGGGTTCTTGTTTGGACACCAGCTTTCCAAGATTCTTTGTTCAGCTCCCTACAATGTCCAGAGAAGGAAAGGTGTGGGGCTTTGCCAGCTGTTATGTGCCACCCTAGAAGATCCGAGGAAGTTGGGCTTTAAAGATCTAAAACTACTTAGCAGCCCACAAGGCAACTTGGAGGTGAACTAACAGGGTTAACTGAATGAACCAGGAACATAGTGACTGAAGTTAAACAGTAATATGGAGTCTCATTTAATTTAGAAAGCCTTCGCCTTTGTAATGCTGAGGCTAGTTTGGGTTACCACTTACTAGGTCTCAGTCTCACATTTCAGTCATGTGTTTAGGCTCAGATCTCATAGTAAGGTACATATCATGATTTGTAGATTGCAATGTCTTGGTTCACTTATCACTTTGAGCTGAACTCAAATAACTATACAGTATGATGACTTAACCTAGTTTGTCTCGTGTGTGTGTGTGTGTGTGTGTGTGTGTGTGTGTGTGTGTGTGTGTATGTGTGTGTGAGAGAGAGAGAGAGAGAGAGAGAGAGAGAGACAGACAGACAGACAGACAGACAGACAGACAGACAGACAGATTCAGTCTCTCTGAACTCCATGAATTTTACACCCCTTTGATGTATGGTACAACTTCCACCATTCTTATCTATTAGCTATTGGTTGGGGATGCTGGAAACTGCAGTCCTATAGACTTGGAGCAACAGATGTGGAAAAAGGCTATCACAAGTTTGTGAGCTGTCACAAATATACAATATCTATATATTTTACTGAAAGACTCCGTTCAATAGTGTATTGCCAAACAAAAGTGATTAGGACTGAGGCTTTATAATATAATATCCTGCAGATCAAGAGACCATAAAATTAAATTGATCTTCTTCCCAATCAAGTGTGTATAAATATTGCAACCAGATGATATATTTTGTGACCAATTTTTCATTGAAATCTGTATAAATTACATCTATCTTTTTGAAATTTTGTCTTAAGAATTCTACAGCTATCCTTATCTATTATTTCAAGGAAGACTTTACAAAAGAAGGTATGTGTGTTAAACTATGTTAAACTATGAATTTTTAAACTGCGGATCTTAATTTTGTACACTGCCTAGAGTCACTATGCATGAATAGGGAATAATAATAATAGTAATAATAATAATAATAAACATGCCAAATCCAGTCTAACATCTGGCTGACTGTGAGATGAACGATAATAATATAGTTATTTTTCTTCAGTTTTCATTTGAGATTTCAAACTATTTTATCTAATAATTTAATCAATTAAAATAGTACAGTGCTAAGTAAATTGTGATCTGAGCTGCAGATGCACATTGTCTAGATTTGATGACTGACAGTTGAACATCTGAATTGACTTTATTGAAAAGTATTGTACTTGGGATGATTAGCGAATGTCAGTCCACAATGCTTTTATCTGTGATACCCACCCACATATGCAAATGATGCATTGACCAGCTAATAAATATGCATGTTTGAATTACTACAAGTTAAATATTTGACTTAAATCCATGGAAAGTTGGTTCTCTTTGAAGTCAGATTATCTGAAATGTTGATCTCTGCTGTTGCACATATTCTTATTGTCCAGTCTTGTAGACACTTCATGAATATGTATGTAAGAATGAGACATCTAAACTTCTGCAG